CGGTTACACCAACGTGTAGTAAACATTGTATAAAATCACATGAAGTGCTGAGCTTAAACAAACACTGTTTACATTTTCATTAGGACGTGGGCTTCTGGTGTGAATGTGTTTCTGATATCTACGTTTAGATCAATCTGTGTATTTAGACTTGTAGTAAACATTGTAAACTCTAATATCAGTGACTGGTAGACACTGTATATAGTTGTATTAGGATTTGGGCTCCTCCTGGGCACTATAAAATAGTTACATTACAATATGGGTTTCTAGTAAAACACTGTGTACTATGATATCAGAAGCCTGGGGTTAGGGTGGACATTATGTGCAGTTAAAACAGGGATTGAGCTTTTAATAAATACCATATTCACTTACATTACATGTTAGATTTCTGGTGGACACTGTCCGTACATAAATCAGTTAGTGAGATTTCGGTAAATACTCTGTACATTGCCAGTGTATGGGATTCTAATTATACTTTGTAAAGTTTAGATCATCGTATATATAGTTACATCTAGAGTGTTGGCTACTAGTAGACATCGCGCAGTACAATTAAATCATAAGTATGACTGTGGTTCATATCTTGTAGAATAATATCAGTGTGTGGGTTACTGGTAGACCTTGTGTACACTTGTCTCTAGGAGTAGGATTCTGACAGATATTTTGTATAGTAATATCAGTGTGGGGGTTACTGGTAGACAATGTGTTATATCAGTTTTTGGACTGTTGCTAGACATTATGTATAGCCAAATGCATTTTTACACCTTTGATACATATGTTGCACGGTAATATAAATCTTATGGTTCTGGTAGTTATTTGTAAAGTTACCCCAGAGTGTCTGTTTTTGGTTGAAATTCGGTACGGTTACATCAACGTGTGAGTCTCTGTGTATAATGTATCAGTGTGTGGACTGCTGTTATACACTGTGCAGAGTGTCATGAGAGTGTGTGTGTGTGTGTAAACCTCTGGTATACATTGTGTATGTGTAGGAGGTCCTGGTAAACACACTTATATCAACGCATGAGCTTCTAGTTAGACACCCTGAACAGTTGCACAAGATTATTAGTGTATGTTAAACATTGTTTATGATTACATTAATGTGAAAGTTCCTGGTAAACATTGTATACAGTTAATTTGTTGTTAGAATGTTATAACTTTTAAGTGTATAATGCATATTGTATGCACACCTTCCATATAAAGTTCAACTGGAGAACATACAACATCTGGTTTGACTGGTGACAACTAGTATAGCTTGAAACGTCTGTTTCTAGTTTTATTATCCAATATATACAAAGGTATTTCATATAACAATAAACATTGTCATAAAGTGAAACAAACTCGAGTGCAAAATATAAATACAGAAGTTTAAAAAATGTTTTGGTTATGCTGCAGTAAGAACATGCTATTCTAACTAAAGACTTTATTATCGATCTGTCTGAACCATTTAAAACAATGTGAAGCTCAACTGGAAAACAATAAGTATTTTCAGTAAGGTTGTGACGATCGAATAACAATCGTTGTTATGGTTAGTAGCTTATACGATCACCCAAGTCTAATTATTAATTAGTAACTTCTTTATTAATTTTGTAGCCATATAAGTTTTATAAAAAATCATTTACTGTTTAACGATTAGACTTAGTTGATCGTATACACTGCTAACAATGACAATGATAGAAATCACCATGTATTTGGTCAGATGATCATATATAGACTACTAACAATGACAACGATGGAAATCACACTGTATTTGGTCAGGTGATCGTATATATATAGACTACTAACAATGACAACGATGGAAATCACCCTGTATTGGACCAGATGATCGTATACACTACTAATAATGACAACGATGGAAATCACCCTGTATTGGACCAGATGATCATATACACTACTAACAACGATGGAAATCACCCTGTATTGGATCAGATGATCATATACACTACTAACAACGATGGAAATCACCCTGTATTTGGTCAAGTGATCGTATAGACTACTAACGGCGTGGTTAAGTTATTGTTTTCCAAGTCCATAGATGTAAAACCATTCTTTGGAATTAAAATCCCAGTTCTGAAAATTTCTTACATGGAATAACTATAATAACCGTTTAATTATTTGAACAAAATCCAAGCGATAAACTAAAGTTATCCAGTCTATATTTCATCACGGTATCAGAACTCGTGGTCTATGAATATAGGTCACAGTTTTATTTACCAAGTATATCAACAACAAACAGTAAGGGAGTTTAATTTGTTATTATTAACAAAATGTATGATTTCCTTCTAACATATTTCACTTTGTTAGTTGGTGTCATAAACAAGTAACAATTCAGAACTGGAATAGATGTTCTTCGATGCTTTTATCGACAATATTTACAAAAGTAACAGTACCGAATCTGAAGATCACTCCATCAGTGACACATTACCCCGTATACGTGTGAAAAAGGAAGTTTCTGCAATACTGCTATCAGTTGTAAATCATCATTAACAGTGAAATGTAAAAAATGCCTAGTTTAGATAGTAAAGTTATTATTACAAATGTCTGAAAAATACAAAATTCAAAAAGACACTAACATGTTATTCTTTGACCTACTATTGGATTGCCATATGATACTAATAAGTTAAAATTTACATGCAACTTTGTCAGTAACATTTTCTGGGAAGTGCACAAATCATAACGTCCATATTGACGGCTGTCAGTTTATGATAACATTTCTCAGGTTGTATTATGATGAATCCAAATTTAACCATACCAATATGAGACCCCAGTTCGTTTTCAGTTATTATAGTTGCTTATGAGTTATAAATATGCCATTTTCGAGTCTTACATACCAGACTTGAGTTACGACCGTGTACAATTGGTCGTAAGAATTGCACCCTGGAGGAATAATACTGTTTCAATGCTGACGCTTTTGTTGACTCCTCTTGACGCCAACTAACAGTGGGTCTCAGTAGGTAAAGCCATACAGTTGCATCGGGATCGGTAAGACTTCCTGCCATCTAAATCAAAACATCAAAAAGCTTCTTTAATTTGACCCCAGGAGGCGCGAACATGTCCAGTTCTTGGCCCAGAAGGCGTTACTTCAGTAAGAAACGCCAACTATAACAATAATTACACCAGACAAGATGTACTTGCTTGGGGGCTTCCATTTCTGAAACATTAGACATATTAGCTGGCTCTATGATTTATAACAAAGCTTTGTCAAATGTGGCGTCTGAAAGAGGGCCCGTCTCTGTTGGGCTTCTCCACTCCTTGCGGACCGCTTTGTCTTGGCCTTCCCAGCTAATCAACGACCGTAGGAACAATTACCGTAATAGATACAGCTCTTGCGTGTTCCTCCTCAGCATGGCGGAGCGGCCCACTGCCTTAGCCAGGTCGAATCACCCACTAGCCACGCACTGCCGTGAAAGTCTTCCACGACACATCACGTGTTGTTGAGGTAGTAACCCACCTGATAAAAACAAAACAAGAAACTACTAACATGGCCGGTTTGTTTCAGTTTCTAGTAGTCTTTAGGTGAGAAAGTTACTCCGTTTCGTGTGCACTGTTAACTCAAACAAAAAGTTAGGAACTTAGCTTTAATGTTATTATTTTTTAAATTCTTGTCTCTATAGAAACATAAAATGAATAAAGTCCCCTCATAGTTTGATTATTCCCCTACACATTGCAAATTAAAGCTTCATTTTTCACCATTAGTGTCATTATTGTTGTTGGATAGTAATCTTGGCGAACATTTTGACAATTTATATATGCGTACAAGAAGTGAAATACACGTGTTGAGTTTTTTTTTTCTTTTATGTTATGCATGTAAAAAGAAAAACTAGGGTAAAAACCAGATCTTAATTTCGCACAATGACATACCCTAATTTGTTAGAGGATAAATCTAAGACTTTTCTCTATCTATCTGTCTGTCTGTGTCTATCTTTATATCTCTACACCAGTAATGTTGGTGTTTGTCAAAATCGAAGTCGGGAAGCTAAGGAAGATTAACTCATCAATATGACAGAGAAACTCGTTGTAGCTTTCATCCACCATGAAGTTATGCACGAAATACTTTAAAACACAATAGAAAACGAATAAAATTGCGGTGATTAATATATTATCTGCAATTATTATTCTTCTACATACAAGTCAATAAATTATCTGAGACAACGGCTTAATCCGCATGTTTTTCTGTATATGTACAGATTCACCAGTCCTCGTTTTTTCATTGTTTTAAATAAAGTAACTTTTACATATTATTCTTGGTTATTAGAGTGGTATATCTTATCCTGCTATTGAAGGTGGTAATGTATTCAATAACCTTTTATATGCGTTTTTTGGAAGTACTGATTGGTCTCATCTAAGAACTTCAACGTTTACATCTGTTAAGGTTATCACTTGCTTTTTTGAATTAACCTAATTACGAAATCGTGACTTGAAGTAATTTACTTATAGGAATAATGCCATATTCTAAACAGGTGTATTCTGGTCATGGTTTTCGGATAGGATATTGTTTACAGAGACTCAAAACTTACATTCAAAATGTAATATCTGTTTTATCCGAAACTACGCTAAAACAATACTTGAACTTCTTCATTACAATTTTCACATTTTACAATACTCCAAAGTCAGATTTATTATCACAACTCCTTAACATTTAATTCCTATCTAAGTAAACAGTTATAAAAAATTGCCCCAGAAACGCGGGGGTTAAGAGTTTTAAACACAAAGCCACGCACTGGGCTGATCTGCCCAACACGGGTATCGAAATCCTATGTTTAGCATTGTAAGCATACCGCTAAGCTACTGAAGGGCCACATAAATGCTAATCTTTTAACATGTCCGTTACGGAGTTCAAATCTAAGATGTGCAAAAGTAGTGTTTTATTCTATGTTTAGTCTCCCATAATTCACTGCTCAAAAGGCCTTTTGTTCAATACCTGAACTCGTCAACTAGAGTGAACGATGAGAATTTGTTTGTTTCAGAATTTTACGAAAAGCCACATAAGGGATAAAGTTTGGACTTACCGAAGTAACGCTCTTATTCGTAAAGTGAAGGCCATGGTTTTGTGACCCACCTCTCCAATAAAAACACATTGCAATGAAGGTGACAATATCTTCTGATACCATAAACGAGGACTTCGAGTTGTTAAAGGCTCACAAGCTTCCAGATACTCCTGGAAAACAAAGGTTGTTTTCATTAGAAAGATGGCTGAAGAAACTCGAATCATAGTAACACCCTATACAACCACGTAGCTTTCAAGTTCCCAATGCAGCTTCAGTGGACTTTTGTATCTTTGGTCTGTTTAGGTGTGATCTTGGAAGCCGACGTGTGGCTTAAGATTGGTTTCTCTTTCTCTCCAAAAGTTTGCTACAATAGAAATTAGCACGATTGCCAATATACGATGTAAATTAAAAGAAGGCAAGAGGACTGAAATGTCTTTCCTATAAAGTGCGATAGAACTTAATTTTGTATGTTGAAGAGCAAAGACTAATATAGAGTATGTTATGAAAACAAAAGCCTTATACAGATACTATTTTTCCTTTATTATAAATTAGGGAAACTTCACGTATTTACACTGATATCAAAATCGTTACCCAGGAATTACAGGTGTCTTAGTGAGGTCCATTTTCCCATCTCTCTTGTAGTATTGACTTGTTATATCGAAAAATCATTTCAAAGAAAGTGAAAATTATTACCTATCCTGTATATACACGTGCATAGCAACTGGCACCGTGAGGAATTTTTCAGTTTTTAAACGTCATTTTCTGCTCATGCGTACTCAGAACTTCGTCCTTGTCTAGGATATGATTCCTATTCTATTAGTTTGCCCCACAAATACATAACATATTCATTAATTACCTTCGATTTATTTTGCAATGATTTATTATATCGTAGTTGCGGGGTATACATGCTTGGGCATCACTAGTACCTTAAATGATGGTTAATAATTTTATCAATGTAAGGAGTGGAACTTATCTATATATTATTATATGTTAGAGAAGCAGACTGGCTCTATACATGGGTATCGTTTCTGATAGTCCTCTGCTTTTAGAAATATATGTATAACATTAGACAACTGAAACTAAACACAACCAAAAACGTCGCGAGGTATTTTATTTTCTTGGCAAGATATATATAAATATATACTCAACCCACGTAAAAACTCACAATAATTATGTAAAGCCTGTTTAATCAATAAATCAGCTGAAATAACACTTCCTGTAAAGTACTTATCGACTACCATTAAGGTGGTACAGAGTGGAAGTCTAGAAAAACTTGGCAAGACGTAGATGCCACATTATATATCATTTGTTTGAAAACTTAGCACAAACTCAATTCGCTTGAGCGTGGATTGAAATATCTTTCCTTTTTACATCTTTTATATTCCTCGTACTTCTATAATACGCATAAGTTACATCGGAGTTCCTTTACAATTTTCTTTTTTTTATTACATATCTTTGGAGACGTGGCATTTTGCCCCGAAATGTTTGGCATGAAGTAATCCGTTTCAACATTCGTTTTTAGAGTAAGAACACTTATATTTTAAGAATACTATTTTGCATTTATTAAGATATACAACTGGAATAAGGGTTATTCCTAAAAGGTTTACACAAGATCACAAGGTTATCTCCATTGTTAACATTGCCTTTAATATATTATTGGTTATAAACAATACATACTGTTATATTTGAGCAATTCGACTTTATAGATCTTTTCGCTCTAAGATTTATGTACAGAAATAACTGTTGATTAAAGGGTTCGAGCCTAAATGATGATGAAAAATGCCTGATAACCATAGCGATTCTAACTGCCATAGTACATCTAATGGACTATAAACTGGCTCTAATGTATAGTTAGTGACCAGGAACTTTCAATATTCTCTTTAATTTATATGTTCTAGTAAGTATTTTGAAGACATAATTATGACAAGTAACGATGCAATAACTGAAAATGGCTGCGGTTCCTTGCAAAATTACACATTTCCATGCTATGAGAAAAAATCAACATATATATATGTATATATCACAAAAGAAGAAATATTTTACACATACATTTGGCACCACATAAAATTGTTCAATGACATACCCCATCTTTCAGTGTCATTCAATTCATAAAAAGTGGCCTCCCTCAAATGAAAGTGTCAAAATATGTAATATAGGGCTATTAATATTAAAGATAAACGACCTTATAACACCAAAATGTTGTTGATATTTAATTAAACATTAAACGTTTCGCTGTAAGAAGCTGTAAAACGAAACGTTGAGTGTCTAATTAAATATGTCCTCCAGTGGCACAGAGGCATGTCTGCGGACTTACAACGCTAGAATCCGGGTTTCGATACCCGTGGTGGGCAGAGCACAGATAGCCCATTGCGTAGCTTTGTGCTTAATTACAAAACAAACTAATTAAATAGAAAACATCATTTTTGTGTTATAAGGTCGTTTATCTCTAGTATTAATATGTCTTCTATATACTAATATGCATTACAGAAATGAAATAAAGGGCTAGGCAAAAGTACCTGATATGTTCTACTATATCTCAAGCCTGCAACAGAACATGGCAGCAGTTATATAAAACTACACGTACTCGTCCCACTTACTTAAAATCTTTTTTGATACAAGTGAAATGTGTTTTGAAACAGCTGAGTGTGAAACATTATGATATGAAGATCCCATTTCTTCAAATGCAAGGTTAACGATCTGGAAAAAATAGTTATGATGATACTTTTGGATTAAACTGCTCCTGATTTTGAGATTATCACTCTTAGATTGTGTAGTAGTAAAGAATAAACTCTTCAATTTTGCAAGCGTTAAAGACAGTAAAAATCTAATTAACTTGAGATTTATTTGTATAATACAGTTAAAACTCTTTTCAAAAGTTTCTGGTTTTTTATAGGTTTCGTTTGGTTGTTTCTGACATTCGCACAAAGCTACACAAGTGCTACATGCGCTCATTGTCCCTAATTTTGATCTAATTGCGTAGAGAGAGAAAGAAAGTTAGTGAACAGCACCCACTGCTATTGTTTGGGCTATTATAATTGATTAGTGGTATTTGAACGTCAATCTTATAACGCGCTAACAATCCCAAGGTGAATCACGGATACTTGCATTCCCAGTCTGGCACATTAACTATTTGGCCACGCCTAGACCGTGTTTTATAGGTTTAAGAAGAAAATTTTCATTTTAGTTTATGTTATTTTAATGGCTATGTTCTGTTAATTGGAATTTTCAACCTTACAACACCTCATGCGCAACCCACCTAAACGGCCAGGCCAGAGACTCCTAAAGTTCAGGTATAGTCACCCCCTAGCGTAATATGCCTCCCTACAAAAATATAGTCAGCCCCCTGATTTTGAACTCCTGACCAGAGGAAAATCAGCCAGCCAGCAGCACCCGTCGCCATAAGGGCTATGACCGATTATTAAAACCAACAGGATTTATATTCACTTTTATATCTGAAAATGCTGAAAATGCGGAGCGTATGCATCGGCAACACACTCCGAACTCTGGACCCTTCAATCCGCAGACCGACACGTTGTCTAGAAGGCCACGCTCGGTACTGTTTGCTTAATATAGAGACTTGTGCCATTTTTACAGTAACCTTACTTCGTTCCTATTGAAAATTTAGGTTTCCAGAACTTCTAGTTAGCCAGCTTTTAACTAACTCTTTAAATTATCTATAAATTCCTAAATTCAACGAAATTCCCAAATAGTTATTCAGATATAGATGGATATAAAAGTTAAAAGCTGGAATTCGTTTGACCAAGCTGAACTAAAACAATTAAATTCATTCTACATTTTTTTGTTAAATATATTCCGTCTCCTTAACTGTGCTGTATACTCATATCATTTTGTTTGTAATTAAGCACAAAGCTACACAAGGGGCAATCTGTGCTCTGCCCACCACGGATATCGAAACCCGGATTCTAGCGTTGTAAATCCGCAGACATACCGCTGTGCCACTTGGGGCATTCATATCAGAAAACCAGAAAGTAATTCACCTGGTCTAACTGACAACAAGTTGTGAATAAATTTTCCTCAATCAAGCCAGCTATTGTCTATTTTCAGCAAATAGACCACGTGTTAAAAGTGAAACTTGACATTAATTTTTGGTATTATATTTCTCGCTATAAATCAGATGTTATCATTATGTTATGGGTGATGGGTGATAATTATATTCAAAACTATATGTTTTTCTTTATAACTCTTCAAGTGAGTCGAATCCAGAAGCGAAGAAAATATGGCCAATGATTGTTGCTTCTAACCAAGTGTTTCCAAAACCCCCAAAACTATATTAGTTTCTAATATGAAGAAACACAGATACGACTGTGTGTACTTGAGATATCAGTTTCGCAGGACATACAGTAACATATTTATAACAGGGTCACATAAAAGTATAACAAGTCAGCTTAGAATTGTCTAAATAGTTCAGAAAACCAAATTAATATAAAAAAGTATTAGAAGTAGATATTATTAACTCTGTTAGTCCCTGCGGTGGACACAGCAGATATCCCAATGTGTATTTACTAAAAAATATAACAAACAAAACATATAACTCTGTTAGTACATTTTGTTAACATACTAATATACTCTCTCTGTTAGAGCATTTAAAATCAAATGCAGCAGGTTATCGGAAAAGTGATAGTTGAAGTTGGTTTATTGAAAGTTTCTCAAACTGTATCGTTGAGTTTATATTTACATATATGTAGGGGGCGTGTACGTATGTTTGACTTGGAGGTTTCTATGTCATTATTCATGTTTACCGACAATATAAACCAACGAATAAATCGAGTTAATATTTCTATAGAATAAAGAAAACTGGATATACGAAAGATTAAAGTCGCCGAGTATACAACTACTTTTCTTTTCTGCATCCATACAAATATCACGGTAAAAGTATCGACGAAAATTAAGCTGTAATGTTTTTTTTTATTCATTAATTCGATACATTTGTCATATAGAACTGAGATCGACAACACGTCATTTTTGACAAATCTAATAATTTTATTATTTTTAACACAATGATATACCATTGAAAAATACAGTACAGGGTTAATACTTTGCTATAATTGTAGTACCAGCCTTCAAATTAGTACATATGAGCTGATTTATAATAATAATTAAACTATGTATGAGATGTGACTCTAGTGAAAAATTACCGCATAACGCCGGG